TAAAGGTATATTTTTATTTTATCCTAGAATACTTAATATTTTTACAGTTTTTCAGTACATTTTTCTAATATTCATATTAAGTGTAAAACAACACATTTGTATATCTTAAAGAATATATATATGTATATATAGTATATGTATATATATATGTATATGTATGTATACAGTATTCTTTAAGATGTATATACTATATATACTATACTTATATTGTATATTATATTTGTATTTATATATGTACACACACACACACACACGCACACGCACGCACACACACATATGTATATACATTTAAACGGAAAATATTTTTAAATTAATTTTTTGTATTGCATTTTTATAATAATCATTTTAATATTTTTAAATCAAAGATGTTTCAAAAGATATATATTTTAATATCGTGCAGATAGAATCTAATATGTTATTATATACATACAATTCTAATTTGATGAGCTTTAATATGTACATTCTATTCTGTTTGCGCATTTTTGGTATTTTAGGTTTAAGTAGATGATCGAATAAATATTTTATAAACAGATGCAATACATTTTCTGTTTAATAATAATAATATATATTTCATATACCGTAGAAAGAAAAATGATGCTCAGAAAAATGAAGTGTATACAAGAAAAAATTTGATATAAAAGTTTTTATAAACGGACACAAAGCGATTGAATTTATTTTATTGTATATAGTGGAATATTTCTTTGCGAAATATTTATTTAGATAACAATTATATACATTACAACTGCTTGTGTATATGTAAAATTCAGAATTAGCACATTCTTAAAGAATTTTATATTTTAACACTATGTACATAAATATTACAATGTCCAAAGATATGTAGTCAACTGTGTAGTTACATGATAAGTCTTTCATTTTTACGGGTTTGTTTATGTGTGTATGTGTAAATATAAACATGAAAGTATACATATATATATGTATGTATGTATGTACATATATGGGAGTTTGCCTACAAATTTTTTACCTACAGCACCTTTTGCCTACATCTCTTTTGCCTACAAATCGATTGCTTACATGTATTATTGCCTACAGCTCAATTGCCTATATACACTTTTTCGCACAAATAAAAATTTTGGAAACGGAGTTACTTTTGCCTACATGTATTATTGCCTACATGTACTATTGCCTACAAGTATTATTGCCTACAGCTCTATTGCCTATATGCTCTTTTGCGCACAAATAAAAATTTTAGAAACGGAGTTATTTTTGCCTACATGTATTATTGCCTACATGTATTATTGCCTACAAGTATTATTGCCTACAGCTCGATTGCCTACATGCACTTTTGCGCACAAATAAAAATTTTAGAACGGAGTTACTTTTGCCTACAAGTATTATTGCCTACAGCTCGATTGCCTACATGCACTTTTGCGCACAAATAAAAATTTTAGAAACGGAGTTACTTTTACCTACGTGCATTATTGCCTACATGAATTATTGCCTATAAGCACTTTTGCGCACAATTAAAAATTTCAAAAATAAAGTCACATTTGTCTACATGTATTATTGCCTACACGTATTATTGCCTACAGCTCGATTGCCTACATGCACTTTTGCACACAAATAAAAATTTTAGAACCAGAGTTACTTTTGCCTACATATATTATTGCCTACAAGTATTATTGTCTACAGCTCTATTGCCTACACACGTTATTGCCTACAGCTCAAAATTTTCCACGCGAAATAAGGGCTATTTCACATCAACAAATGGTTTGGTTAGGGTTAGATTTTTTTGGGAAAATAGTCCCAAAAAAAGTTATTGTATATCCAAGGACACTGTCTACGCTGACACTCCACTGTTCACATGACAGATTTCCTAAAAATATAAATTATTTTCTTACTTAACTTTAATTTTATATTTGTGCGCCAAAGTGCTTGTAGACAATCGAGCTGTAGGCAAAAGCAACTCTGCTTCTAAAAATTTTATTTGTGCGCAAAAGTGCATGTAGGCAATAGAGCTGTAAACAATAATACTTGTAGGCAATAATACATGTAGGCAAAAGTAACTCCGTTTCTAAAATTTTTATTTGTGTGCAAAAGTGTAAGTAGGCATTCGAGCTGTAGGCAATAACACATGTAGGCAATAATATATGTAGACAAATGTGACTTTATTTTTGAAATTTGTAATTGTGCGCAAAAGTGCTTGTAGGCAATAATACATGTAGGCAATAATTCATGTAGACAATAATACATGTAGGCAATAATTCATGTAGACAATAATGCATGTAGGTAAACGTAACTCCGTTTCTAAAATTTTTATTTGTGCGCAAAAGTGCATGTAAGCAATAGAGCTGTAGGCAATAATACATACTTGCAGGCAATAATCCATGTAGGCAATAATACATGTAGACAAAAGTAATTCCGTTTCTAAAATTTTTATTTGTGCGCAAAAGTGCATGTAGGCAATAGAGCTGTAGGCAATAATACTTGTAGGCAATAGTACATGTAGGCAAAAGTAACTCCGTTTCCAAAATTTTTATTTGTGCACAAAAGTGCATGTAGGCAATCGATTTGTAGGCAAAAGAGATGTAGGTAAAAGGTGCTGTAGGCAAAGTAGGCAAAAGGAGCCCCCCCCTCTCTCTCTCTCTCTCTCTCTCTCTCTCTGTATATATATATATATATATATACATGTATGTATGCATACATATTCTGTGCGTGCATGTGTATACACACAACACATACATATTCGATCTATATGTGTACGTATATTTTTAGTAAATATCTATATCGGAGTCTCGCTAAAATTCATATACTGTTTTATTCTATATTTTACCGTGTGAAAGATACATTTATTTTTTTTTCAAAACATGTGCAAAGAGAAAATAAATTTTTGCAACGATCAGGTACCATTTTGGTAGATATTTTTTGCACTTTTGTGACTTTATAATGCGATTGTACAATATCTTTTTTACTTTTAAACTAACTTTATAATTCCACTTTTCTTTTTTAGTCTCTTATCTAATCGTTTTGAAAAGATAAATTTATTTATTTTACAGGGTATACCAAAATTCACGACTTAAAATACTGTAGCAAGAAAGTTCTCGGAAAATTAAATAAAAAAGTCACTTGAAAAATTTTATTTAATATTAGATAAATTTAAATAAATACATAAA